ATTACATGTTTTCTGTTTTTTTAATATTTTGTTTTCATATTGCACTATGACCAAAGTAGTATAACATTACTATAGTAACATTGTACTACTTTGGGGAAGTGATCAGTATTTGTTTGTTCTTTTTTACACACATTTTATTGCTTATAGCAAAGAATAATTTGCTATAAGCAAGCATTTAACTGAATGAAATCGATTAATTCAGGTTTTTTTTGTTGTGATTAGCTGTGGTTGGCCATGGCTAATCACATGACACAGATGGCTGTGATTGGCCCAGCCTTTCCATGTGATCGCTGTGATCATTCACAGCTAGACGCAGTTGTATACAATGGATTGCATGAAAGGAAGCCATCCATTGTATACAACTGTCATGTGACTTGCTGTGATTGGTCACAGCAGGTCACATGGTAATGGCAATGGGGCCGGTACACAGTTCTGTCATCGGCCGTGTCCGAGATACACGGCTGTTGACAGATCTTGCCACAGCGTGGCTCTACAGGCACGCACAAAACACAATCTGGGAAGGACATCATATGACGCCCTCCCGGAGGGGCAAGTGGTTAAATGTTAAATATAATTTACCTATTTAGAAAACATTTATATTTTACAAATAAATATTTCATACAGGGAACACCTGTTTTTGGAGCCTCTAAAGAGGGAATAGAGTATTTTTTTTTCTTTCAGACTGCCTCTCACTAACTGAAACTCTGCATGGAGCCTACAGGAAGGAAGAAGGTGAGTCACTCAGCTGTGTTTGTAATCTGAGCTTTTGCTGTTCAGATCTATATACAAGTTTTTTTTTCTACGAAAAACCCTGGTAAACATATGAAAAAGAGAATAGAGTTCCACCTGGAATTTTCTGGCTGGAAATTGACACTGTTCATATGCAATATTAAACCCACATTTTGCTTATGTAGATTTATAGCTAAACGATGTGTCAATTATTAAGAAAAATTGACATGACATTTTCATGGTGACCTATCAAAAACTATTTTTTTTTTTTTGTTATGGGAAAGTAAAAGGTTCTATAATGTAACAAAGTTTATAAATAAAATGCAACACAAAACAAGACCTGTTTTAGACACATTTAATATTAAAAGGTGAAGCTGGCAGTGATCAGAAGATGTAAATTTTCTATGTAGTGAATTTTCAGCTCCATCAGGCTCTGCCATTGCTTCCAGAAGGATAAGATAACGAAAAGTCACAAGTGCAGTTGGCATGGTTCTAAGAGGAAACAGCTGCCAGTCTGAGAAGGACCTGCTGCTGCCAGCAATTCAGGAGAGAGGCCTAAGGGCTGTCAGCCTTGATAGTTCTCATGACCAACCGAAGGACTTTAATGACACCAGAGACTCGTGTAATGCAAGAGCTTGTCCTGAGAAACAGATAAGATATAACACAATGCTGCACTGGAATTTTTCCCAAACCCACATTTTGAAAAGTCAGAAAGAGTGACCTAAATGCTTTACTATTTCACTTTTATTGTCAAGAAATTTGAGCATACTGTAGAGAAGGGTATGCAAACTGGAAAAAGTATGTGTACAGTTGCAAGAAAAAGTATGTGAACCCCTTGGGATTACATGGAGTTTTGCATGAATTGGGCATAAAATGTGCTCTGAACATCATCTAAGTCACAACAATAGAAGAACACACAGTCTGCTGAACATAATACTACACAAACATTAGATGTTGCCATGGTTTAATTGCACATAACATGTAAACATTCACAGTGCAGGGAGGAAAAAGTATGTGAGGCCCTAGCTTAATGACTTCTCCCAGAGCTAATTGTAGCCAGGAGTGAGCCAACCTTGACTCCAACCAGTGTGATGATATTGGATGTGTTGTTGATAGCTGTCCTGCCCTTAAAAAACACACACCTGTTTTGGGTTTACTGGTTTCAAGAAGCACTGTCTGATGTGAACCATGCCTCACAGAAAGGAGCTCTCAGAAGACCTACGATCAAGAATTGTTGACTTGCATGAAGCTGGAAAGGGTTACAAAAGTATCTCCAAAAGCCTTGATGTTCATGTGTCCACAGTAAGACAGACTGTCTACAAATGGAGAAAGTTTTAGCACTGTTGCTACTCTCCCTAGGCGTGGTCGTCCTGTAAAAATGACTGCAAGAGCACAGCGCAGAATGCTGCATGAGGTAAAGAAGAATCCCAGAGTGTCAGCTAAAGACCTACAGAAATCTCTGGCACATGCTAACATTTTTTGTTGACACATCTACAATAAGGAAAACATTAAACAAGAATGGAGTACATGGGAGGACACCACGGAGGAAGCCATTGCTGTCCAAAAAAAAAAATTGCAGCACGTTTGAAATTTGCAAAAGAGCACCTGGATGTTCCACAGTACTACTGGCAAAAAATACTGTGGACAGATGAAACCAAGATTGAGTTGTTTGGGAAGAACACACAACACTATGTGTGGAGAAAAAAAGGCACAGCACACCAACATCAAAACCTCATCCCCACTGTAAAACATGGCAGAGGGAGCATCGTGGTTTGGGGCTGCTTTGCTGCCTCAGGGCCTGGACGGATTGTTGTCATTGATGGGAAAATGAATTCCAGAGTTTATCAAGACATTTTGCAGGAAAACGTACGACCATCTGTCCGCCAACTGAAGCTCCGCAGAGGATGGGTGATGCAACAGGACAATGACCCAAAGCATACAAGTAATTCAACAAAACAATGGCTGCAACAGCACAGAATACGCCTTCTGGAGTGGCCCAGTCAGAGTCCTGACCTCAACCCGATTGAAATGCTGTGGCATGACCTTAAGAGAGCGATTCACACCAGACATCCAAGAATATTGCTACACTGAAACAGTTTTGTGAAGAGGAGTGGTCCAAAATTACTCCAGATCGTTGTGCAGGTCTGATCTGCAACTACAGGAAACGTTTGGTTGAGGTTATTGCTGCCAAAGGAGGGTCAACCAGGTATTAAGTCCAAAGTTTCACATACTTTTTCCTCCCTGCACTGTGAATGTCTACATGTTATGTGCAATTAAACCATGGCAACATCTAATGTTTGCGTAGTATTATGTTCAGCAGACTGTGTTCTTCTATTGTTGTGACTTAGATGACGTTTCAGAGCACATTTTATGCCCAAATTCATGCAAAACTCCACGTAATCCCAAGGGGTTCACATACTTTTTCTTGCAACTGTATAATGTGATTTCCTGGGAGCTGATACCCGTTTCCCTATCCTGCACAAGAAAACAACATGCTGTCTCTAGCTTTGTTTATTATAATGCTTCCGAACAGGGGCGGACTGAAATATTTGGAAACTCGGGCAGTGCCCGAGGGCCCGGGGTCAGTAGGGGGCCCCATGAGATGCCCCTGGTACTTTTTTCATAGGCTTTTTTGAGTTTGGGCAAGGACACAGGGGCCCCATGATCCCCTATTGCCCAGGGGCCCCATGAGTTGTCGGTCCGCCCCTGCTTCCGAATGAATATTAACATATTACAGAACAAACACAAAGTAAGTGAAATATCTTGAAAAACTTCAATCTATAGCCTTCTGACACTTCAATAAAAAATCCACCTTGGATCAATAACTGCAGTAAAGTGTATGTCCGGATAAAAAAAGAAAAAAAAACATATTCAGCACAGCTCTGCATTACATGCATATTTTCCTGTATTTTACAAAAAAAAAAACGAAGTTCAGAAGAATACATTGAATTCATAGCTTCCTATAGAGAGCTGATAATGCTGTCTCTGCTGCAGTAAAATCCAGAGCAGTGTTGTCATCCCTTCCTGAGTTATCTCCTGACGGACTACAGAACACCTCCTTCTCTTTTTATCTCCATAACATTTGAGGGAGGTACTTATTAGTCCAGCAGAGGACAACAGGGCTGGCAATACTACTTTGGATTCCAGTGCATCAGAAGCAGAGTTGTCAGCAGCAAACCTGGGGAAATGTGCATGTATTGGACAGCACAGTGGCTAAGTGGTTAGCACTTCTGCCTGGCAGTACTAGGGTCATCATTTCAAATCCCAGCGATGGCACCACCTGCCTGGAGTTTGCATGTTCTCTCTGTGCCTGTGTGGGTTTCCTCCGGGTACTCCCGGTTTCCTCCCACACTCCAAAGACATGCTAATAGGTTAATTGGCTGTTGTTTAAATTGGCCCTAATATGTGTATGTATGAATATGAGTTAGGGACCTTAGATTGTACACTCCTTGAGGGTTAGGGACTGATGTGAATGTACAACATATAGTGTTTACATATATGTGTGTAAAGCACTGCATAAATTGATGGCACTATATAAGTACCTGTAATAAATAAATGTATTTTTGATATGTACTAATTATGTTTTGATATTGCCAAGGCATACACTTTAAGTACTGTACTGGCAGCATAATGTATGTGTTTAGAGAAGCAAAACTATTTTCTTTGTAAAGGGCTGCTAAAACAAACAGTTATTTGCTTGTGAATAAAATTTCAAAACATTAAGAACAATGTATTCATATTCCATTTAACTGTATACATCAGGTATCAAAATCAGCATTAGAGTTAGAGTGCTTTAACCTCCCTGGCGGTATGATTATTTCCGATTTTTTGTGCTGAAAGCGGTACCGTTTTTTTTGCATGGAAATATGTAGTTTTTTATTGTAGGCTGTAATTTTTAGGAATAACTCACTGAAATCTGTACGCACAAGAGTCTAGTAAACATCCCGGGTAGGATAAAATTTGAAACCCGAAATCATAAATTATAATTGAATAAATAATCATAAAAAATAATAATAATAATAATAAATTTAATTCAATAATATAATCAAACCAAAAACACTGAAATTTGAAATACAGAGGCAAATTTGCACATCGCTGAGCAAAGTCGCAAAATCGTTTTCAGTGTCTGATGACGAATTTCCCCACGAATCATTATCACTCAATTCTGCAAGTAGTTCTGATTTACTATCGCTGTTCTCTAGCTGGTCTAAAACCGCTTTTGATGTAAAGGGACGCTTTTTGGATGCCATGGACTTTTCTAAGTTTCCAGGCAGAAAGAACAGTCAAAATGCAAAGCAGGGCACAGGACAAAGCACTAGGGAACAAAATGTATGTGAAATGCATTGAAACAGCAATGTTTTACTATATAATAATCATTTTAAAAATGAAATTTTTTTTAAAATTTCAAATGCCGCCAGTTTCGGCGCCCGTACGTCCCGACGTCACAGGGACCGGAACACGGAAGCCGGATGCCGGCATCGGCCGGAGGAGATGGCCGGGGACACATCGTGGGAACGAAGGACAAGGTAAGTGCTGCAGGGACTCCCTGAGCAACACCGCATGGTAAGCCCAAGTGTAGCTCGGGGTTACAGCTCTTGGTACTGACATTTTACCCCGAGCTACACTCGGGAATACCGCTAAGGAGTTAAATACAATGTAAATAATTGCCAGTAATGGCAGATGCAATATGTATTTCCTCACAGCTTCATTTTAACATTTTTTATATGATATAATTTAAATTGTTTTCTTTATTAAAGGGCTGTAAGACTGCCTTAAGCCTAGTACACACAATCAGAAAATTGTATGAAAAACGTTTTCACAGTGATCGTGCGATAATTTTTCATCCGAAATTGTTTGAAGGGACAAGCATGAAAACTTTTCCCGTACAATACCAGATCGTATGGTTTTTGTTTGATCAGTACAGTTTTCATCTGAAAATACAATGCAAATACTATACATTTCATCACTTCCAAATTTTCTTTCTGTTGTACAAGAATTTTCGTAACTTTAGTAACCTCTTCACTTTCGATATGAGACCAGCATGCAAAAAACAACGGACGATCATTCACCCATTATTCTCATCATGTGTATAAGGCATTACTTTTGCAGTCTCTTCTCTAAGCCTTTGTGTGGAAATCAATCCTCAATCTACTCCTTAAAAAAAACAAAACCTATGAACCCTGGATCAACTGTGAGTATAGGATTTTTTTTTTTTTTAATGGTTGAACTGGATGGATTTTTGTCTTTTTTCAACCAGACTAACTATGTAACCCCTAATTAAAACCACACTTACAAAAGCTAGGTTAACTCTTAAGAAATAGGTGTCAGCCCAAAACCCCAGAATTTACTTTGAGCCCTCATGCACACTGGATGTTTTGATAATTCTGGCAACGTTAGCTGTGTAAAGTCACATTAAAAATGTGAGTCTTTCAGCTTTTTTTTAGCATTTTTGCATTAGCATTTAGCGGTGTCTTGCCGTGATTAGTGGCATTTTCCCGCGTTTGCGGTTTTTTTTAGCATTTTTTTTGGATCAAAAAAACACATCCAAACACGCCGGTTTGTGGCGTTTCACTGCGTTTTTCAGCATTACAGTGTTTTTACAGCTAAAAAAACCCCTCCAGAAACCCACTAGTTTTGTTTTTTTTTCCAGCCAAAAAACGTCCCAGCAAAAAAAATGTTGATTACAGCATATGTGTGCATGGACATATAGGATAATATATAGGGAGTTTATTGACTGCAGAAAAAAACGTCAAATGCCAAAAACAGCCACTACAAAGTGTGCATGAGGGCTGACTCTTAAAATATACTGGAAGCGATGAAAGATAACAATCCTATGTCAAAAATTACCAGTGCCAAGGCACCAACGATTCCATACAGGCTTTTACTGGTGGAACAGTGTCCTACTTTCCTCTATGTTTAACGATCTGCTGTAGTTCATCAACCAATTTTTCATAACTACATTTTTTTTTCCCTGCAAACCACATCTCTGTTAACAGAAGACAATTCCTCAGCTTTGATAAGTGTGCTCCTAGTTGGTGTCATGATCCCACAGAAGCAGAATGTTTTGTGATAGAATATGAATATTTGCCACAGGCCTGAAATGTAAATACACATTACTTTTGTTGAAAATGAGCAGGGAAACAATAATCAGGAACTGGACTGCGTTTGGCTGAATTTCGTCTAAATCTCAGATATGTTTGTAGCTATTTGCTAGCAAAATAACACCTATATCGGAAAAGAGCTCAGAGTCAGCCTTCCAGATAAGGGGTTTCCTATGTTTAGAAATTTAATAGCAATATCTAGAGCACCATCTCTTCAGAACACAACTCTATACATACAATTATTCCTGTATCTCTTCATTATCTCTCAGCTGTATGCATAGCTGTTAGCCTGTGTGAGGTTGACTGTTGTTTCTAATATCTAGACCATTCTTTTATCAACCTTTTTTTAACACAGAGGAACCCTTGAAATACTTTTCAGGTCATGGAGAACCCCTGCAAATAATGACTATATCTAAAGCTGATGGTACATTAATGCAATCAGTATGTTGTAGATCTAATAACAAATAAAAGAATAAGGAGTGGGGCATACCCAGGGGCGGACTGACAACTCATGGGGCCCCCGGGCGATAGGGGATCATGGGGTCCCTGTGTCCTTGCCCAAACTCAAAATGCTTATGAAAAAGGTACCAGGGGCATCTTATGGGACCCCCTACTGACCCCGGGCCCTCGGGCAGTGCCCAAGTTTCCAAATGGTCAGTCCGCCTCTGGGCATACCTAGCATATTTGACACCCAGAGCAGAAAACTTTTCCATATTCCTCATCGGTAAAAAGTAAATTAGATGGGTGTTCAGTGGAAAATTGCCCTCTTTAACGCCTAGTCAGTGGGGAAAAAGGCCTCCTCACATTGATTTTTTTTTGGAGAAAGGCCATTTTACAGATAATTTGTGAAATGTGGAGCTGGCTAAACTCCAGAGGGAGGGGAGTGCATGTGATGGCACCTGTAAGGGTGGGTGAAAGTTAAAGGGAGAGGGGAAGACATCTTTCCGTATATTCATAGCTCAATCTGTATATCACTATGACTTAAGAAGTATAAGTCCCAGCATGACCAATATATTTTGGATTTTATCATAGCTCCTATGTGTTCCTGATTTGGAGGGACTGTCCCATGTTTGAAACCAAATCCCTCAGCCCCCTCCTTCCGCCTTATTTGTCCCTCTTTGGTCTAATGTATAGACTGAAAATTGGACCCCCATAATACAATGTGAAAGTGATATGGTTAGCTCTGTTCACGCCTGTATGATTTTGTTGAGTTTGTTGAAGCACAACAATGCCCTTTCTCATTCTGTTCTATGGGGCCCATTCACACATCAATGAATTAAAAATAGTATATACATGCACTTTGGTACATTTTTGTTGCATCTTTTTATGTGTTTGTAGCGTGACCTTTCAACAAGATGCCACCTCCGAGCAACATCTACTGTATATGCATATAACAAAGAATTAAGGCCACAGCATGACTGACACAGAAGAGCTAATCTCAAGGGGCAAGACCTTTCCTCTATGACCCCTTCATCAATGTTCACAAAGCTTGCACCAAATGTGAGAGGGCATGGCATGTGGTGTACAAGGAATGGGACAGTTACTTGACCACACAGAAAGAAAGCAATCATTATTATTATTATTATACAGAATTTATATAGCACCATCAGTTTGTGCAGCACTTTATGATATAAAGGGGGACAGTACAATTAAAATACAGTTCAATACAGAAGGAATACATTTATTTAGAACATAGCTTTAATACATATAGTATTGTATGTTTTTTTAAAATTACACTTCTGCATACAAAGATTTTTGCTTTATTGTCACAATGCAAAAAAAAACTTTATTGGTTGTTGTTAGCAAACACCAATAAAATCATGTAAACATGTGAACAACAAATTGTTACATTAAAAAACAGTATATGGAAAAATGTGAAATGCACAAAAACACATGAAGAAGCAGAAGCACAGGTGTGAACCTAACCTAAGGTAGGTGATGCCTTGCCATCTTCTTATAGCTGTCACCCCATCACCTTCCTTTGGACTGAAAGTCACCTTGCAACCCTTCTACCGGCTACAATCAGAGTAACAATCACATGTACCCCCTTCCCTCAGGACTTTATCCAGCAACACATTTCCTAGACTGAATGCTGAATCCTGCTCTTCCTTGGAATGATCTTCCTGGATGTATGGTAAGTTAAGGATATAGACTGCATAAATTGTAATAATGTAAGTTAACAAATAACTTCATTCTTTTATGACCCATGCACAAGTTACATAATTAGTCTGGCTGAAAAAAGACAAAAGTCCATCCTGTTCAACCATTTAAGAAAAAAAAATTATAATCCTACACCCACAGGAAGGCAAAAAAACCCAGCAAAGCATGATTCAATTTGCTCCTGCAGGGAAAAATATTCCTTCCTTATCCCCCGAGAGGCAATTGGATATTCCGTGGATCAACTTTACCTATAAATGTTAGTATCCAGTTATATTCTGTGTATCCAAGAAAGAATCCAGGCCTTTTTTAAAGCAATCCACTGAGCTGGCCAGAACCAACTCTAGAGGGAGTCTATTCCACATTTTCACAGCTCTCACTGTGAAGAAACCTTTCTGTGTTTGGAGATTAAATTTCTTTTCCTCCAGATGTAAAGAGTGCCCCCTTGTCCTCTGTGATGACCTCAGGGTGAATAGCTCTACACCGAGTTCACTATATGAACCACTGATGTATTTATACATGTTGATCATATCCCCCCTTAATCTCCTCTTCTCAAGAGTGTACCCATACCTTTTTCTCTTCTACTATTGTAGTGTTAAAAGAACATTCTTTTTCTAGCAATAATAATTGTAGAAACCGGAATAAATAGTGCAACATGTTTGGCAAGAAATAATGAATTCATATAAGAACACAAGCACAGCTTGGCATCTTTGCCTTGGGTGCCCAAACAAAAAGTTTCCCAACTGTGTTCCAGGTATAATTTACTATTCAGATTTGTCTTTTCATGCTGTCTCTGAAATGCTGTCCACTTAATCAGCTGGTCATCTTCTACTACTAAGCGGATTACTGCTTTGCCTGTTCCAATTCTCAGGATGCTGCTCTGGTCTTACTGTACTAAGTCCTTCCTATAGGTCATTATTACACAGGATAAATCTTATTCTGAACTTCTCTACTTAGCACCATTCTTGAGCTTTGTTTCATCAGATTTGAGCTTCAGACTGCCAGCCATTATTTACTAGCTAGTTTACTTCTCTCTGTCCATTACATCTCAGCAAGATGATTTTCTGGGTTTATAACCTGTTGAGGCAGGGGTCTGCAAAAGTAGTAGAGGACGGCAGACACACTTGAAGATCTGTAATCTGTAACTTTACCTGAGACTTGCAGGAGAAAAGACATAGGACCTAGTTCAGACAGTCCAAATGTATGAAACGAAATCACTGGGTCACAATTATATATTTATATTCATATTTAGCATCCTTGTTTCTAGGAGCATAATCATATAAATTGATACAATTAACAATTTTAGGAAAGACTGCGTCAGCATGGTTCAGTGTCAACATAAACAGAGTG